GGGGGGGGGGGGCAGCTTACATTCATGGATGAATTAATCTCGGCGACAGTGTCGTCGTCGGTCGGAAACTGGTAGATCTGGACACCGTTGCTGACCAGCTCGCTCATGATCTTGATCTTGAACTTGTGCAGCTCGCTCTTTGAGATGGTGTCGGCCTTCGCGATGATTGGGATGACGTTCACCTGCAGCGGAAAGCCAGCAATTCCGGCGTACACTTTACTCTGTAGCCCATGTCCCCAGTACATGTCCCAAGAGGAGTGCGCAGATATTACAGCAATTACGGTTGTGTAGAGGCGGCACAAATTTAACACAACACAGATATTTTACGATAAATTAATAAAGAGGAGCAAAAGACCGGTTTAAAATGCAAAATGACAGGAGCTAGAGCATGTGGAATCAAGGGTGAGGTTTGAGTTCATATTCCATCGTTTGTCATCGGCAACAAATCGAGACACTTCAACACTCTCGCTCCATCTCTTCAGCGAGAAACGACACAGCATCTAATGGTCCCCTTGATCCACCATAATGAACAAGGCCCAATACGAAAGTCACTATTCATACCAGCCAAGCCCCGCCCCATCGCACACCAGCCAATCAGCTGAACTGAAACTGTGTTTTCATGATTGCAGAGATCCATGATGATCCGGCAGCTCAAAACACAGCCTGGGCCTAGCAGAGGCTATTTGTGCTATAACATAATATACAGCCTCTGTTTTTAGGAAAAGAATCAAAAAGCTGGAACATATTTGACAGCGCGGCACGGTACGGCAAATCTAAGTAGAGGCTACAGAAATTTATGGCAACGTTTTCCTGATGCCTTCCGAGTTATGTCACCGACGCCGTCTGCAATTACAGGCTATGAGGTCATGGGAAGGGCGAAAGGACTTATCTGGAGCGCAGCTGTGTGGTGCGGCCATGCTAAGTTAGGGTTAGCGAGCAAACAAAAACAACAAGTGCTGTGTATCTTAAGGCTGGGACAGGCCCTCGAGCAAGACCTGAGACACACACCCTGCAGGTCAAAGGCTCACTGAACATGACCAGACAGGAGCAGGAGATAAAGAGCATAAAAATAGGATATTTAACTATAGATCATAAACATGATCGGAAACCCATGAGCCTCTCAGATTTTCATTCGTGCACCGTCATTATCAGTCCCGAAATTAACCCCAAATCATGAATAAAAACACCACAAATCTCTTCATACGTGGTTCCCCTTTGCGTCAAGAACCAGCCTGCATGTTCAAAGTGATGTAGCAAACAAGAGACCCTAGACTTTACTGAAGACGAGACAAAGTTACGTCCGGTTCTTAATTGGCAAATAACATCTTCCCAAGTTACCATGGTAACAGGGGGGCAGATTCCGACATGCGGCATTCTTCGTGGAAATAACGCCAACCGAGAGTTGTTTACGTTTCCTGTTGTATGGAGCGGATCTTTTATTTCCCCCCCCCCCCCTAAGCCTCTGAGAGAAAGCAGCCCGGGCTTGACGCCACAGCGGAGCGGATGCCTCCAGCCGAGAGCGACTGAAAAGCCAGCCGCAGACCGAGCGAAGAGCCCCTGCGGAGTTTTCTGGGGCTCGTGTTTTCATCCACGGCGCAAAGGAACCGAAGGAGGGGGAGAAAAAAAAAACAGAATGGAATTTCAAGAAGTCCGCCCTGCATAAACATACGTATATCTGCGGGGAAAACTGACACCAATGCAGGAGAAATGAAGGAATGAATGGAATTTTGATTTGTTGGGCCTTCCCAAGCGCAGCTATGGGTGTTTCTCTTCGTCAACTGGATCTCTCTTACGAACACCGAAGCGACTCATTTCTAGGAAAAGCGGAGCGTTAAGCACGGGGTTTTTAAAAGCGACTCCGGCGCCTCTACCTTGCTGTCCAGTTTCTTCATGGTAACCAGATCAAGGGATTTCAGCGAGTGGCCCGTGGGAGCGATGAAGTACAAGCAGATGTGGATTCTGGTGTCGTGGTAGTTATAGAGCGATCGCTTGATCTTCAGCTCCTCTTGGAGGTAGTTCTCGAACTGCGTGTCGATGTAATCCACGATGGGCTTGTAGCTGCAGACAACGCAAACACACAGCCGCGCACTTTAAAATAACGTGGCGTTGAGTAAATCGTAAGAGCTAATGCATACCGTAGATATTAAGTAGCCTTGTTTCCCAGAGATGAGACACAGGACAGGAGACACAGGACTATCCCCATGTGTCCACACACAGAGCTTAGAAGCAATACTATACAGAATTAGTGTTTATTGTGGGATAAAGACCAAATCTTAGATATTTTAATTTAATTAAATCAAGTTTATTTATATTCATTAATGAAGACACAGGACCCCTTTTGACCAAGACACAATAAACATGCAAAATAATTCTTCATTTAAAAGGTTTCAATTACTAAAATTATTATTTATTATGCATATGGTGCATGTACACCTTCATTGTTTTAATCGTTTTATACTCCAGTATTTATACTTCAGAATTCCTGTTAACAAATGCAAACCCTTAGATGAAAACCTGAGGTTGTCCTGCCTATGTAAATCAACACATAGATATATAAATATAATACTAGAAATGTCACGGTCTTCCATGTACTCCTTTGGGTGGATGTGTGAGTGTTCTGTGTCTTTAAGATCCCAATTAAAGCACATCGGTATTTAGTGTTAGATCTACAGATGACCCTCCTCAATAATGTCTAAATAAATAAGGATCTTTCACACAGCTGCCATGGTTTTCTCGGGATATTCGTTTTCTAAATTCCTCCCCTCATGGCCTCCAGAGGCACTTTCCCCAAACAGGCTGCAGACTGACCCCTCCCCTGAAAGTTCGCGCCAGCCTTTCTCTCCCGGGGTCACGCGAACGCTCATTTCCACAGCTGCAGTTCAGACCAGGAATTTCCTCCTCTCCCACCCAACCCTAGACATTCAAAGTTCTCTCACATCTTTGGAAGTCGCTGTCACCTGCCCCAACATCTCCACCCCCATCTCCACTCAAACTCGCGCTCCATCGGGAAGTTCCGTCGATCCTACACCCCTCAACAACTAACGGGATCTTAAAACGCCACGACGGCAATGCGGCCATCGCATTGCTACATCTCCCACGCTTCCGTGTAGCTAAAGGCCTGCACCGACCTCTCCTCCTTGTTGATCTGGTCTCCAAAGCCGACCGTGTCCACGATGGTGAGCTTCAGGTGCACATTGCTCTCCTGCAGGTCATACGTTCTGGGTCGCAGGTACACGCCGTCCTGGTAGTGGCTGGCCTCTTCGTTCTCGAACGTCGTGTTGAAGAGCGTGTTCATGAGCGTTGATTTACCAATGCCAGTCTCCCCTATGTAACAAAAGATGGGAAAATGCAGCTGCTGATCAGGCCAATGGACCCGTCTGGCACGTATCTCTCTCGCCCTGAGGACAAGGGCTGTTCGTTGAAAAATAACGCAAGAAATGTGCCTCAATGTTTGTGCGCTGAATACAGAGAAAGACTGCAGGACAAACAATATGGCTGCCAGAAAAAACCCAGCGACCACATTTGTGTTGACAGATCTTCATCCACTGCCTGTGTAAAAGTCATACACAGTTAAATCAATTCAAAGGGAAAAGCAGGCTTCAAGGGTAGACAGAGGAAGCTAATATTGCACCAGGTTCATGACTACATACAAACCACAAACACATAAACCATAGTTTGATGCATTTGATGTAACTGGAGGCCTCAAACGCATCCCTATCCAGATCTATCTCACTTTCTGATGTTAATGATTTTTTTCTGGGGGGAGGGGGGGGGGACCATCACTCACCTACGCAAAGGATGTTGAAGCAGAAGCCTTGTGTCACAGACTTACTGACCAGCTGATCAGGAAGACTGTCGAAACCAACATGGCCGCCCAAAGTGAGGTTCCGCTTCTCTTCGTGCTGTAAATGTAAAAGCATAAATGTTTTACACACCCCTATGCCTACAGCAGAGGCACGTGGGACTGAAACACTGCTAATCATCTCGCCTCCTGCTTAAGAAGTGGAACACTGAATGATAAACTTAATGTTTTATCTAGATGAGCTTCCAGACCCATAATCGCTAAGTTAAATAAATCGCCGCTGTAGATGTACGAATGGCTGTGAACATGCGCTAATCATACGTTCGCCCTAACAAACCCATGAACGCATCTGAACATACAGAAGCAAACAAGACCGAAGCCACTGAACGACTCAACACCTTATGGTGCCCTCAACAAACTACGTGGATGAGACCATAATCACTGGGCATCAACACAGCTTTCAGGAAGATCTAGACACCTCAGACAGACTCCATACCTACAGAGTACATAACCCTGCCTCAATACTTTTTAAAAGCTTGACATTTTCAGCCGTCGAGCAAGACTCAACATTTCACCAAGTTTTAATCTTCCTGGCTCTTCACGTGTCAAGGGGCCGTTTCTCACAAAAATAAGGCAGGATAGAACACAGGAGATCCGTCCCAAAGCTTCCACGCTTGTATATACGTCGCTGCTGAAAACACTATACATACACAGTAAATTCAGGAAATGACACTGGCCCAGTGACATTCTCTATATATACACACACGTGTGCTAAATATGTATATGTATGTGATATGTATTCTACCCATCCAGGCCCAGAGTACAGAAATGTGTAAATGTGAGATACACAAAACCAACTGCATAATAAATAGTGTAATACCTGGTCAAAAGGATGCACCAGTTATATAACAGTTTATGCATAATAATTCTACTGCTTGTTTTGAAGGTTCTGTTGAATGTATCCACCTGTATGCCACTTAAAACACTCAGAAATATGCGGGTGCTCCGGTACACGGAGAAACAACGCCAGTGCATAACCGCAAGATAATCGCTTTAAAAATTAAATCCGATCATCCGCTGGCTGTTCTAGCTTGTCGAAGTGTGTTAAACATTTATTCTATTTTATATTTTTAAATGGTTAAAAAAAAAAAACAGAACAACTGGCCAAGAAATGGAACAATAATGACTTTTCATAAAATTGATGCGTATGAGAAAAGAAAACCGCAAGCGGTATCACTGAATAAAATGCAGAGTTTGTCCTATTATACGGCCGGATCCACCATTACATGAGCACGCATAACCTAGTTTATACCTAGGACTGAAATTACGATAAAGCTGCACCACGACGTAATTACCATACAAGTTACTACTTTCTACTATATATAGCTATGTAACAAACTGCAGAATCAGGTACACGGCGGGAGGCTTATTGTAGGATCAGCAGTGACCCTAGGCGGGGGTACAGACCCTCACACAATGGCCCCCATCGCTTTTGCGAACACAAGACATGTGGATTTGTCATTTATTCCGAGTAATTCCCCTTCACGTGATCTTTTCTAAATGCCAAGCTAAGTTTTCCATCCCCTTCACGCTTAATTTCAAATACTAAACTCCAGACATCCGACTTTTCTCGGGAGAGAGAGAAAAAATCTGCTTACTCTCCCCCGACAAGTCAGCAGAAAAACCCATAAAGTCCTGCACATGCAATCATCTCTGCCAGTACCCCGGCCACCTAGCATAAGCGGCAGGCTGCTGCACCCCTCCGGCGTCGGAAGCGCCCCTTACTGGGTAATAAATTAAACTCACACCTCAGCCATCTAACAAAGGCACTGTCCTGTAGGATGCACGACATACCAGCAATCAAACTGGTTTCCAAATCTCTATTCACGATCCCTCCCAGTTCTGCAAAAATAGAAAATCCGGGCACTGGAAAGGACTCATCAGACTGTAATGTGTAAAACTTGTTTTTAAAAAATGTTATGACTCGAGTGAGATAAAGCGCATTCTTTGCACGCTGCATACTTTGGTAGTGCCGGACGGCGTGGCGACTCCGCTGGATCCCTCCGAGCTGGAGATCAGCCGATCGCCGTCCAGGGGCTGCGTTGTGGCGACACGGCGCGAGCACCGACACCCTCGCACGTTTATACCCCGCTGGCGCGCGGCGTGACCCCCAGTGCGGGTTTTAAGTAGGGGATCTCTCGGGATGTCAGCTTTAAACCAGCAAACGGTGACAGGTTCGTCCACTTCAACGGCACAAGTACGACGTGTCACCGAGTAAAACTACATACATACATACATCCATCCATACTTACATCCATCCGTCTATTCATTCATTCATTCTTCCATTATAAACTCCGAACACCGATCCATGTAAGACCGGCATGTCCCCGCACCCAGTATAAACAGAGACGGTGGATCATTGCTCTGTACTGGTTTCCAGTACCACCGGCGGCCAGCGTAGCGAGAGCAGACGAGCCGCGCCGCGTCTCACCGCACTTCCAGCGACCAGGCGGGACCGTGCAGGCTGCTCGCCGAAACCGCCTCCCCGCGGCTCCCCGGTACTCACCGAGAACACGTCTACGTCCGTGGCGGCCATCGTCCGGCGTGGGAGTCTATCGACAGCGAGCTGTGCTGGAGAGACGGCGCCGCTTCCTCGGTCCCTGGGCAGGCAAACGCAGCGGATCCAAACGCAGCGCAGCCAGACGCGCAATATGGCCGCTTCCTGGAAACTCCCATTAGGCGCAGGAATGCCTGCAGGAATGAGCGCCGCCTGCACGGTGCGGCTCCTCGTATCAGCGCATCCGGCGCGGCTTCACACTCAGTCGCCGCACTTGTTCACTACAAACACATTGTAAAAGTGCGCATAAGGCATTGAAGAACAAACTAAAGGCACCTTCATTTACCAGATGAGAGTTTGCGAGCGGCTGCCGTCCCGAGCGCTCCTGGGATCTGTAGTTTTTCCAGAGGTGCCAGTCTCAGTCGCTGCAGTTTTTTTTCTCTTTCGTTTGCTGCATGTCACGGCTGATTAGTACGTTTTGTTTTCATCCACTTTGTTATGGAAGCCTTTTTCTACACGTGCATGTTACGGAGCATCCAATGCCCAATTAAAACAATTTAATGGACCAACAACTGTACACTGATATTTAGGCTTGTAGCGCCGATACATTTGAATACAAGACATACAACATACTGTATGTTGCGTATTACACACGAAAAGTTTCTATGTAACGCACTTCTGTAAGATAACTGATTACAGTAATACGTAAAAATAAATATATTTTACACGAATTTTTAGAACACAATAATTTTCTCAATTTAACCTAATTTGATCATGAAAACCTTCCAAATGCAATACTTAAAAAAAACGCAAATTTAACTTGTAATTTGATTACCTAGAATAGTGAAGAGGCAAACATTATTTAGTATACATAGCAGCTGTATAATAGTAGGCCTACTGATTGGCTTATGTCACGCTCCTACATGTTTGAGAAACAAACGACATGCTGGGTCTTCGCTGCATTGTTTAGATAATAATCTTTACAGTAAGGTAACTCACTCGATGCTTTTGTGTGTTAATCAGTCTCTGATCTAAGTGTCGCCCATTAAATGTACAGGACTAGCAAGTTCCAGCGTTGGACTACACCTACCAGAAACTGTCGGGCTTTCCAGAACTGCCCTCTTCTAGGGTATGTGCAAAATAATCATACCAGCAATGGACTTTCACCCCGGAAGCTGCACATGGAAAACAGTATAGTGCGGTGGATTGTGGAAAAAGTTTGAGAGCTGCTGAAATGAACTGACGCTGGCACACATCTTCGGAGAGTAAAAAGCAGCTGAGAGCCATGAGTGTTAGTGAAGAGACTCTTTTGACCTTTTTGCTGGAGCGAGGCGGCACAGCAGAATACACGCAACTCCTAAGTCATTTCAGGCCCTTCCTGGATAGTAATGATCCAGCGGAAAAGGAGCTGAACAGAGAGCTGTTTAAAAGGTGCGTGAACTGTGTGGCATTCGTTAAACAATTCGAAGGAGAGCGATATTTCATTATTAGAAAACAATATGTACATTTATTGACGCAGTCTCATACTCCAGTCTCGAACAAGCGTGAACCAGAAGATAGAACCAGCACTCATAAGGCTTCATCCTCAGCAGAATCTGCCAGAGAGCAGAGAGAAGATGATCTCTCTGAAAGGGAAGGGAGAAAGACTCCAGGTCTTGGTAGCAACCGGATTTTGGGTGATCAGTTAACCGATGATGACAGTCAGTCAGCTACAGGGCTGAATCTGCAGAGAAGACAGGAAAGAGGCAGTTTCAAGGAAGAGATCATTCATGGCCCCATAGAGACTTTACAAACCAAGGAGATCAATCTCCCAGGGGGTGTCAGGAGACCTATAGTCCAGAAACCCTACATGCTGCCTTTAAGAATGCCTCCAGTGCGGATGGACACAATGACTACAAAGCCAAACTCCGAGGAGGAGCGTTTGAAGAAGGTTGATACTAACCAGAACATGTGTGAGCTTCCTGAGAATAACAGAGAACCAGAAGAGTCAAACACACACTCATCACAAGTCATGAAAGGTTTCAGGAGTAGCATCCGCAATTCCGAGCTGAGATATTCAGGGAACATCCCTCTGCAGAGCACGGAACACGAATGGCTGGTGAAGACCGCCATTGGCCATTGGACCAGAGTACACGGTCTACTGCTGCAGGACATACAGCTGGCCGAGAAGAGGGACTTCACATCCGGCTTCACGGTGCTCCACTGGGCCGCCAAGAGCGGCAACTGTGAAATGATCGCAAAAATCGTGGAGATATCGAGACGAGGCGGTAGGGAAGTCAACGTCAACTGCAAAACCTATGGAGGCTACACGCCTCTGCACATCGCCGCCATACACCATCACGAGGCCGTCGTGACTCTCCTGATGGGCTTCGGTGCTAACAGGAACATAAGGGACAACGATGGCAGGAAGGCGTGTCACTACCTGCACGAAGGGGTGTCACGTGATGTTAGAGAGTTGCTTGAGGGGCCCGGGGACCCCGGACGAGGAAAGACGCAGGGACACAGCGAGGTTGACTACCATTTCGACTTTGCTGCAGGGTTTAACACAATCAGCAGATTATTGCAGCCTTATGTCACTGGGCATAAAAAAAGACATAAACGGCCAGAATTGCACACAGCGAGCGATGACCCAAGCAATGATTAATTCCCAGGTTATTTTAAGCAGAAAATTATACAGATGATTTTTAAAATCTGGAGGATGTTTCCACAAAATCCACAATGTATTTTTCAAAGTATGAAATGGGCAAGAAATTATGGTTATGATTATTTTACCTTTTTATTCTTTTATTATCCTTTGAATAACGCTGGGTTTATGCATATTTCGCTCTCCGGAAAAGAAATTCCATTTGCATAGTAAAATTTCCTGCCTTCTAGATTTATACGCTGTATAATATTGTGTAATATGTAAATGAGAGTTTGTTAGCAATTGGAAGGTTTGAATTATAAAGTTACATTGAATTGTACCTCGTTTAATTTTCTGAGGTAATGTCATACAAAGGTACCAACTAGAGATTTACTGAAGTACTGCGTACTTGGTGAAGCACGATTAATTTTGCTGTGTTTAAATAACCAACACCTCCGGTGGACAAAACAATGCTCCAACGACCTTTACATGTTTCCCAGAGGACTTTACTGCAGCATCTACCTCATGTTTTAGCAAAGATCCCATAATTGATACGTTAGACACACATTTGATACACTTTCAAAGCTAAATGAGTGCATAATGGGTGATCAGACCATAATCAGCTTTATAGGATTTTCAGTATTGGACATATAGTGCACTGGATGAGCAGTGTTGGATAGATGGATGGATGGATATGTGGTGCTTGGGTAACCGTATGATAGATATTTTCCTTTTGTACAACTTATTTTAACATGGATGTGATACAATAATGACCAATGTATTAAAATATATATTTTTTATTTGATATTTCAAATTGTATTTGATATCGAATTGAGTTGATTCTAATTAATAGTTTGATCTTGACATCACTTGTCTGATAAAGTATAATCACCCCAATTTACTCACGCATCTTTCTTATGACATGAATCATACGTTTTATGGACATCTAGCTGACCACCACTCTTCCAAAGAGGCCCACCCAGCCGGCTGTCTCCTGGCCTGTGGTTCTGGTCAGGGTTTCTGGGGTATTGAATTATAGATGCTGTCAAATGCAGACGAGATGAATCCTTGAAGCAAAATGACAAAAAAGGCTCATTAACTTTCGTTTGTTGTCATTTTGAGTAAAAAAACAAAAAATTGCAGAGTGGACAAGCTACCTAATGAAGTCATTGAAAACCTCGGCATTTGGTGGCCCAAACCATGTGACCTGAAATCATGTGATGGGTCATGTGACCCCCCCCCCCCCCCATGTGACCCCAAACCAAAGCCCCTAGCCTTTCCCTGGGATTATGTTTCACAGCTGCTAATGTTACCTCTCCCAAGATGTTTCATCTGACCGCACTGAAGGAAAGCCCCTACCCTGACTAAAACTCCCTCCCCTCCCCCCTCCCCACCCCCATACCCGCCAATCCTTCAGGAGGGTGGCAGTCAGCAGGAGGGACAGCTCAGCTTGGACGGCCCCTCTGGGCCCCAAGACAATGACTAAAGTGTGACTGTTATTTATTTGTCGTTACTTAAGAGTTTGGAAGCCAGGCAGAAGGACACAAAGCTTGTCTTGTACTGCAAAGCACCAGAGCTACACGACAGATTTGGCCTGAAGCCTTACAAACTGGGCAAAGAGGGAACAAATCCTCCGCCACCAATCAGGGCTCGGACGCTGAGGTTGCCAAGGAGCCATATACGTCTCGGTTAAAAATGACAACTGCGGGAGCTGCTTCCTCTTAACACTTTACATTTTAGGAGATATTTCTAACACCTCCATCTTCAACTGAACATTTTTAAAAGCCATCAGGTGTATCACGCTTTGCTTAGACACACGGATGATTTTTTTGTTCTAGATGAATCTCGATTGGTTACTTGGTATGGATGCAGGCGTTCAGAGAGCAGAGCCCGGTCTCCGTGCCAACCAGAAGGGGCCTTATCCCCGGTCGGCCGCAGAGCCCCTCGGTGATCGGCTTTTGTGTTTGGGAGAGCAGTTGAGGTGCATTGTTCCGGAGTGCCAGGGAAAGGGCAACGAAAACGCGAAGGTGAAGCACTCAAACTGAACTGAAACCTGAAATCTCCCGCAGTGACAGAATGGCTCTGTATGTAGCAGAGGTTGACAGTTCTAATCCAGGGATTAAAAATCTACACCCGGATTTTGTTTCAATCAATCAGCTGAGTACTCTGTGACTCTTTATACTGAACTGGTTGGTTGAAACAAAATCTTGGTCTGGATTTATACTTCCTGGAGCTGAACTACTGGTAGCATTGTGGCTTCACACCTCAGGTTCCGCAGTTTTCAGATCCCGGCCCCCGCTCTGCGTGCGTGGAGTTTGACATGTTCTCCCTGTGATGTGTGGGCTTTTGTTTTCGCACTTTAGATGCCGACTGCGGTCCAGAGACATGCTGGGAATCGCTGCCTCTAAATTGGCCTTTGTATGTGTGTTTGTGTGCCTTTTGCTGCCCTGGCATCCCACGCAGGATGCTCCTCTGCCTTGGGCCCTCTGTCGCCTCGGACGGGATCCAGGGAACCCTGCACTGGATTATCAGTTGGAAGAGATGGAAAGACATGCTATTTATTCGTGGAATTTGTGTTTTCATTTCTCGCTGCCGCTCTGGTTTTAGTTTTACTCATTACAATTCCTGTCCCCAAATAAAACCACAGCTCCTTGCCCCTCCCACAAGACTCTGGTCATAGTTCAACCTGAAGCAAGTCTTCCGCTCACATTCTTTCATAAAATAAAATTGCTATTTAAAAATGTCGAAAGGGCAGAATCAGGTGAGATTAAAACAGTGTGGGCTGGCCAGAGATTCTGTGACAATCACACTGCATAGCAGGACATTGAGGATGCAGGTTGGCATTGAAACCGTCACACGTAGCAGACAAAGAAAAAATGGAAAGTGCTGCATCGTTGCTCTTTTTTTGTAACAGATCTTGGAAACGTTCTACGGGAAAATCTCACCATCTTTCCGCGAAGGGGCTTGCGGCTGCTCGACGGAGCGTGAAATTTGCTGCGGTGGCTTCGCTGTCTGAGGCTCCAGTGATGGGGAGAGACGGCCCCGTACCGTGTGACCTGACGCACTGGAACACGGAGCCTCCAGATTTACAGTGCACTGCAGCGCAGTGAGGAGGATCTCCAACATCAGGATGCTCTCGTCTCGTTCCCTCTGCTGTGGCTAAGCGGGTTCCGTGTCTGCGAGCAGAGATTTCTTCCCCGCTAGATATTCACCAGTCAACTGTATGTGGTATTATTGCGAAAGTGGGAGTGTTTAGGAACAACAGAAACTCAGCCATGAAGCGTCAGACCACATAAAGTAACAGTGCTGAGGCGCATAGTGATTAAAAATCGCCAACGCGCTGTGACTCAGTAACTGCAGGGTCCCAAACTTCCACTGGCATTAACCTCTGCACAGAACTGCATGTCAGGAGCCTCATGGGATGGACTTCCATGGCCGAGCAGCTGCATGCAAGCCTCATATGACCAAGCGCAAGGCCAAGCATGGGATGGAGCTGTGTAAAGCACACTGCCACTGGGCTCTGGAGCAGTGGAAACGTGTTCCGTGGAGTGACGAATCACGCTACTTGGTCTGGCAGTCTGATGGATGAGTTTGGGTTTGGCAGATGCCAGAAGAATGTTACCTGCCTGACTGCACTGTGCCAACTGTAAAGTTTGGTGGAGGAGGGATAATGGTATGGGGGTGTATTTCCGGGGTTGCGCTAGGCCCCATAGTTCCAGTGAAAGGAACCCTTAATGCTTAAGCATACACAGACATGTCGGACAATTCTATGCTTCCAACCTTGTGGGAACAGTTTGGGGAAGGTCCTTTTCTGTTCCAGCATGACTGTGCCCCAGTGCATAAAGCAAGGTCCATAAAGACATGGTTGGTTGAGTTTGGTGTTGAAGAACTTGACTGGCCCACACAGAGCTCTGACCTCAACCCCATCGAACACCTTTGGGATGAATTAGAAGGGAGATTGTGAGCCAGGTCTTCATATCCAACATCAGTGCTTGACCTCACAAATGCTCTTCTGGATAAACAGGCAAAAATTCCCACAGACACACTCCAGAATCTTGTGGAAAGCCTCCCCAGAAGAGTGGCAGCTGTTATAGCTGCAAAGGGGGGGGGGGGGGGGGGGGCAACTCCATATTGATACCTGTGGATTTAGAATGTGATGTCATAAAATTTCCTGAAGTTGAAATGGCCAGGTGTCCCAGTACTTTTGTGCATGTAGTGCATGTTTTGAACTGGTGAGTGACAGGGGAGGGGGGAATCTGGGGGCCAATTGGCTGCGACCCAGAGCCTCATTCTCACCTGTATATGTATCTGTTAAGAAAGGATCGGGCTAAATGTACGTAGAAAGTCTCTCCTGCCCTTGTAGAAATAGCATTTAAAGTAAACGCTCACCGGGTTACGATTTCCACTTTACGATGGGTAAATATTTTTCAGCACATTATTCAATAATTTGCATGAGATATTTATCAGTTTATTATAAAACCGGCTTTGTGTTAATGATGTTGCCCAACTGCAGGATAATGCAAGTGTGCTAAGCATGTTTAAGGTAGGCTAGGCTAGGCTAGGCTAGGCTATGGCGTTTCCTAGGTTAGGTGTACTGTATTTAAATGCATTTTCACCTTACGATAGGTTTGTCGGAATGTAATCTCATCATAACCTGGGGAGTATCTGTAATTCACTTCTGAAGGAATACAGCACAACCCACGGCACCTAGAAAGCAACCAGCTTAAACACAGCTAAAGAATCCAACTCAGACTGAACTTCAGACTGATTTTGGCCCAGCGCTGCCTTTGGCTTACTAACTCATTCCCAGGCTCCTCTGACATCCAGCGCCGTACTCTGTGACACTTTTCCCACATCCTCCTGTGGACCACCAGTCAAAGAGTGCAATGAACCAGCGAGGAGACCATTTAAACGCCAAGGCGTCCTCACTCAATGTGTTAGCCATGGAAACAGGAGCACACAGCTCGCCTGTTTCTACACAGCAGGCATTTATTCCGGTAAGAGGAGATCCGTCATTTCAGAAACAAGAAGTAAAACACACAGCTCAAGCTTTGAAATGAGAGACACAGAAGACAGAGTTAATAATTAAGAAAAATAAACCACTTTATTTCATATACACCGGAATTCCTTATGGGCACAAACATTTTCAGTGATCTGTTTGTTCTACGCTACTCAGACAGCGTTCCGTAGGCCAACCTGAGCCTAAGTTCAAAACACGACCACGTTTTTTCACGCCGTTATAAGATGGGATGATGTCACAAAGGGGAAAGTGCTATTATTAGTCCGACGACCTTCCGCCGTCTCCTTGACAACATTCCCTCCGTCAGTGAGCAAAGTACTTGTCCAGTCAGGGTCAACAGTTTAAAATCTACATTAAGGGTAACTGGGTTGCATATGGCAACCTAATAAGTAACACAGTGTTGACAATTAATACAAAACGTTTTGTTTTGTTAAAAGGGAAGCAAAAGCAGAAACCCAGATAACACCATGGTACATATCAGCAAAAGTAAAATTATGCAAACAAACAAGTTATTACCAACAACAAAACCGGCCTCCACAGTGAAAGCGAATGTACATTTATTTTTTTAAGCAAGACAATTTTATGCTTAAATCAATTAATGAAGTGCAAATATTAATTTCAAATTAATCTGTACATTAAAACATACTAATGCAATTCATAAATATTTTTTCAGTATAGTGGAGAAAAATGAAATGATTCATAGTTTGTGATACCAACAACAAAGCAGAATTCAACACTAAAACGTTCCCACATCTTTTTGTGACGATCCAGGGATAGTATTTGAGTATGCAGGTCCTAATTCCTAAGGATAATTTACTTGCATGTCATGAAATGTTCTTTAGGTTATTGACCATACATGAGATTTTCACCAAAGCCATATTAAAAAATCACTACATCTGTGCATCAGGACAGAGATACAAATTTTCAGAGGCAGAGACAAGTTTAAAGAGTCAGGCCACCTTCTGTTGATTCCTCATGCAGTCTAGCCAATATTTTAAAGACATTAAAAGAAAGCTTGGTCTTAGTCATTAAAGTAGTCAAAAATTAGAAACATTCAGTTCCTTGTTAAGTAATATATGCTGGTTTATTTTAAGCAGAAGCGGCGATAAATGATGTAATCCATACAGCCCCTGAGGGGAGATCGCAAAGATCTCTTTGATCCAACAAAATATCACAGTCAGTTTCATTTTTCCAAGACCATTGAATAAATAATATTTCATTGGATACAGAAAAGGCCTGATATTTCACAAAACATTTTGAGAGGGGAAAAAAAACAACCTTCTGGAAACAAAAATCCATATATTTTTGTGCAAGTACATGTGAAAGTGCTTTTTAATCTTTTTTTGGTTTTCATCGAGTGCCAAAATGACCAATAAAAATGCTCCACCTTAAAACTATTATGAAATGTCATGATTTTCTTCTTCTTCAAATAATCCCAAAGCCATGATTATTTTAAAGCTTATTAATTCCAGGTTATTAAAATGACTTTCTTCTCTTGGTAACAAGTGACTATAGCGGAATTAAAGACGCGTTAAAGTTTAAAATGTAAATTCTAAACCGGAGACAAATTCGCCGCTGACACACCCGGCACAGACATTCCACGGAAGCAGAAGGATGGGGCGCCATCTAGGGGTGGGAGGCCTGAACACAAATCCCCATGGCTGTGAGGACAGGCGAGCGCCCAGCAGGACGGCTTTCAGGACGGGATGCTGTTGAGCAGCGACTCCAGCTGCTCCTCGCTCAGCCTCTGCTTTTCGTCCAGGTCCTTCTGCCGGATGAGCAGCGCAGCCTTGGTCTGTACAAAGCAGCGATAGTCCTGCAGCTGCCCGGCTGTTAGGACCCGGGCCAGGATGGTGGACACCACGCGCTCCCGCCGATCCAGGTTATCCTTCAGGTCTTTGGCATCCTCCTGCTGTTTACACAGCAAACGGTGCCGGTTGTCCAGTGATTGCTGACACACAGGGGGACACAGAATTTAATTACTTTCAGGACGGCTTTTCATTATGTGCATCAGAGCGGTTTAAAAGCATTTCACACACCAGGCAAGTCCTGGACAACTCCTAATGGCACCAAGAGAAAAGAATATACTGCTTGCAAGTCTAGCCCAAGGATGCGGTATGACTTTCTGCCAGCAGAGGGCAGTGAAGACAATCTAAGACTGATGGTTAATAATCATTTTGGCCTGTCCCCAATTTGTAACCAGGTTCCGTTCAGACAGGGCGCACGTCGAAATGGACATATGGTCGGAATAAAATAGATGTAGCTATGAGAATGTGTGTGAAGCTGGGATGCATGCATCTACTTTTTTGTTTTGAAGCACGTGCAAGTTCTTATGAAAGTCAAACAGGTTGTAAATCGGGGACAGTCTGTAATTTGGGGAAAAAAAAGTCAGTAGCAATATTTGCTCTCTCAAGGATTTTTTGAGATTTTGTTTTTTTTTTATTTTTTTATTTTTTTAAATAAACCAAAAAAAATAAAATTCCAGATTTTTTTTCCCCCCAAATGATTTTCAGGACTATAGGGGAAAGAAACATTTTTAGAACGAATCCAATTAAAAAGCAAACAAATTTTATGCATATCATTTTTAGAAGGAATCCAACCAAAAAATTTATTTGTGGGTGTATATAAAAATTAAAAAAAAAGTAAAAATATCGTGTTACTCACCTTCTCCTCCGCGTCGGCCTGCTCCCCAACGGCGCTCAGCGCGTTACGCACCCTAGCCAGACGCACCGACAAGCACAGCAGCAGGCTCACTACGCGCTCCAGGTCCCCCACGAACAGTGTGTAGCGCTCGTACTCGGCTGGCGGGCAGCTCTGCTGCACCAGGGTGTCGACGGCGCCGCCCTGCAGGCCGTTAGCCTCCACCGCATCCTTTAGGGCCACTCGCTGCTTCTCCACCAGCTGCAGGCGCCCCTTGATGCACTCCATCAAAACCCTCTGAATGGGAGGAAGGAGGCCTTGGAGTTACGAGAGGCCGGGAGACAGACGGGTGCAGCATAGACCGAGTTAGCCTGCATGCGACTGTCTGCGTGCTACACCAGGGGTATACACATCTGACACCCACAGCCGATCCACGTTTCTGCTACCGGAAGCTGGGAGGGAGCAAAAATGTGGACCAGCTGTGGGACCGGATTGGAAAACACCGCTCTATAGCTACCCGAAAGCAAGCCTGAGCGGTGATCATGGTGGTCCAGGGGACGATGGACTCCGAATTTTCAACGATGTTTATTCGGTAAGAATCAATCCATCCATTCAACACTGCTTCTCTAGTACACACTATATGTCAAGTGCTGAAAATCCTATGCATTATATAGCTGATTATGGTCTGATTGCCCATCATACACTCATTTACCTTGCAAAGTGTATCAGACATGTGTGTAATGTGTCAGTTTAGGGATCGTCACTAAAACGTCGAACAGAAACAGCAGTATCACTCTCACTCCAGTGCTGTGGTTTGGGTTGCGGTTTGTTTGCATAAATTTTACTTTTGCTGACGTACCACAGCGTTCGCAGAGTTTCTGCTTCGTTTCCATTTTTACAAAACAAAATATGTTTCATATTGATAATTAGCACCGTGTTACTTACTAGGTTGCCATATGCAACCAAATTTCCCTTAATATAATGACTGTATTACTGCTGCTGTCCAATGAATCACTATTACAGCTAAACACAGTCCCCCCCCCCCTTCACATCCGGGAGGGTTAGGGTTGGAAGATGTGAAAATGCGTGAATAATATTTGCCCCTGACCTCAAGCCATAAGTCTGCTAGCCTGAACATTAACATTAAAAAGTCTATTTATTACATAATTACATATTTTTATTACTGTCATTTCCTATCTAGACCTTTTTATATAATATGCAAACCATCTAAATTATGTCCGGTTATGAAGTTACTACAGTACGCACTGGGAGCACTAGGTTTTGAACGTCACTGAAAAATTTATGATTTACTGTGAAGAACGCGAGATTCCAAGGTCACAAAGACAGCTACCACATGAGCGAGGCTTACCGAGACAGATATGCAGAGTACCCAACCAACAATTTTTATATTAAAGTTATACTATGCACTTAAACTAACGAATATTATGTATCACTAATAAATATATTTGATATATGATCCAAATGATTTTCAGTAATGATTTTAAACTTACGCGTTGCCTGAGTTTCTGTGATATTTCTACAATCCCTAATGTTTAACACACACACACACACACACACACACACACACACACACACACACACAAATTAGGCACCTAACTGCATGCAGGACAGTTGAAGAATCCCCAGAGAGAACACACAAGTTCCACAAACACAGAGCGTAAGTGGGATTCAAACCAACAACCTGCAGGTGTCAGGCAAGTTATATACTTAAATATAACCAAAAATGGCTAAACACGGGGCTGATGCTGAGCAGTTATTTGGTCAGTCTACAAAGATTCTTCAGGAATCTTCACTAAATTTCCTTGAAGTCATTTCCCTAAATTCCCAACAGGCAAATCTGGGGACACCCATGTAGGGCCTGTGCTGGATTTACCTTCTTTTCCGTGATGTCACTTCCTTTATTTACGTGGCCATCTTGCATCTGCCCATCGGGGTCTGGGTTCTCATTGCTTGGTGGCATCATGTTCTGCTGCTCTAAAATTTCAGAGCTTGAAAACAAAACGAGGAAGTAAGAAAACCCTACTATACACATACATCCACAATCTGATCTTTTTAAACACACAGAGTCTTGTATTTTCTCTGTAACCAGAGGGAATATGGCTTTAATTCACATAAAATGTAATACGCGTAATCACACATACAGTATCCTTTTGTGTTTACAGAAGCATAAGGTTACCTGTCGCCAGGTTGCTGTGTGTGTTTATGTCTGTAATGCTCCTCCATTAGCAGTGTGTCCTCAGACAACAGCTCCTCCATCAGCATCACTGCCGTCTTGCGATTGGTCACCGGAAGCAGGACACGGGCCAGTGATTGGTCCTCCGCGACAACTTCCTCCACCAACACCTGCCACCGTGGCTTGGCTGGAGCTCCGGTCTCGACCAGAGTCTCACCTCCTTTCTCAGTCTCCTCTTTAGGCAGATCACCGTCTTTTCCCTCATTTTCCTCCAGGTCTGGACCTTCGGAGGTCGTCGCCACCGGTGGCTCGTGCGTCGCCGGTTCTGGCAACGCGCTCGGGGATTCAGTCTCACCGGAGATGTGGCGAGATTCTTCCATAACCTCTTTGTTCTGCGCGACGAGCCACGAACTCGGATCGGTGGTGACGCCGCGGCCCAGAAACACCTCCTGGGAGGGATCAGGTCTCGGAACATCATCCTGGCCCGGTAACAGGGCGTGCACGGGAGGGGCCGCGCCGATTCTGCTGTGAGCACAAATCGCATGTCAGTGATGCCAGTCTTTCTGTGTGAACGTGTGCGGCACATGCCGCGAGCAGTCACTGCTACATACCTGGAACCGGTCGGACTAGATGGCGATACGGAACCGGTCCTGCTGGTCCGTCGTTCCTGGGAGGCTTGGCTACTGGGGAACGGCGTCTCAGCGTCACTGACGTAGAAGACACTGTTGCCCACGACACTACTGGCCTCGGATGGAGAGGGGGGCCCCGTCGACGAGGGGGACCCACATTGTGGCCTGTCTGGGCCGTCGCCGAGGCCCCGGAGCCCTGCCTCGCTGCCCCCTGCCTCGCTGCCCAGTTCGGGGGCGGTGTCCTGTCTCACAAAGGGCGTCCTACGCGGCCCCAGCTGGAGTTTCCTCGTCGCGTCCCAGAAGGACAGCCGCCGCTGCTCTCGGCCCGGAGGGTTCCGCCCGTCCTCCAGCTGGTCCAGCTGCTCAGAGCTCTTGCTTAGGGCCTGTACCGTGTCGATCCGGCCCGCTCCCAGCTCCTCCATGGACTTTCCCCTGAGGGCCACCGGTCGAGCTGGGATGTCCCCCGACACGGAGACCGCCCGCTCTGTAAGAGCCCGCACTGACCCATCCGGTCTCCTCTGAGCACTGGCCGAGCAGGGAGAGGGACTCGTCAGCAAACATGTGCATGAAGACTCATGCTAGCCTCGCGTTAGCCGTCAACACGCTCAGGAGTAGGTCCCACCCTCGATTATCATGTTGATTAACTGCCACATCCACAAATCCTGCATCTTCGCTAAACACAATGCAGATGGTTCACCACATCCAACTGAACATACAAAACCTTCTTCCGTGAGTAAAGGCGACTTACGTCACCAGCACGACCCAGAAGCTAAGGAAGCTAAGCTGCAGTTTCGACATCTGGAAGCTGGGAACGGGCAAAAACGTAGGCCGCCTTGGGGTCCTCGAGGACCGTTTTGAAAAACACTGATCTCATTCATACATCTATGACCAGCGCATCCTAGTTAGAGTGGGGGCACATTCATGCTCACACTCACACAAACATATTCTATGGGCAGTGTGACCTAACTGCGTGCCTTTAGAATGTGGGAGGAAGCCGGAGTAGAGAGAGACCTGGTAGCACACAGGGAGAACACGCAAAACTTCACACACACAGGGCGGAGGCGGGATTTACACCTCTTATTCATCACCGGTGAAACGTCTTACCAAGAATTCTGGGTGGAGGAAACTGGAGGTTTGTGGATGTCATCTTCAACCTGGCGGCATAGAAACACGAAACGAGAGAACGCAAAATACATGTAAACCCACTCATCGTTTGCGTGTTTATTTAATTAGAGCTGTTAAAATTTTATAGAAGGTCCTGCTTAGACGGGTCTAAGGGATGTGCTTCCTAAATAAATTACTAGCCGTGAAGGAATTGGGTCTTCTGTGAAATTAACTTCAGTCTCACATTAAGATGATGTAACTTATTGGTTCAACTGCCAGCCAATCACAAGCCAGACTCAGATGGCAGACCCCAAGTGAACGTCAGCCCATGGGAGTTTTATTTATAGAAGGACAGAAGGAAAAGTGATTGGTTATCTCTCTGAATCAATCAGATTGTAGAGGAGGTGGGCTAAAGTAACTAGATGAGGTGGGATCAGCCAATCAGATATCTTGGTCCCACCTCTTCTAGTTGTTTAGACTCACCTTCCTCTACAATCTGACTGATTCCTCTCTCTGAACCAATCATTTTTTCTTCTGCCCTCAGAACAGAAGTAAAACTCCCACGAGCCGAACACCACAGCAGTTACCAGGACATGACCCACCTGAAGGTTGTAGGGGGTGGAGGTGGAGCGGGTTTGGAAGAAGGTTCCCTGTTCGGGCTGATCCAATAGGGTCTCAGCCGAGGCAGACTTCCCGGTTGCGGAGCTGGTACATTCCCTCCAGTTGGCTTTACTTGGCAGCACATCACTGTGGACAGAGCTGAACTGCGAAGGCAGGAAGGGGCCACTGGAATCCAGTATGCGGCCTGCAGAAAGGGGCCTTAGGAGCTTCGGTCTTGGCGCCACATTCCCGGAAAGCGACCTCAGGGCGAGTACAGCTGGGAGGCCTGCAGACGAGTGCCTCTGGTAGTGTACAGGCTGCTGGGGCTCAGCCGTCTTCTGCCCGGTCTTCCTCTCCATATAGGCCACCAGGGCCTTCTGCTGGATCTGCTTCAGGGTGTTTTTGGGCCGGCCGGAGGTAGAGTAGGCACGGTCCCGGGTCTCGAACAGCTTCTTCCTGGAGGCCACCAGCCCCTGCTCGCTGACATCATCCCTGGACAGCAGGCCTTCCTCCTCATTGCCCAAGGAGTTGCACACGGGATGCAGGGGTGCAGCCCCCACTTGATTCAGCTTCTCCGGCTCGGAGTAGCAGAGTTTCTTTTGCTCAGAAGTCAGCCTCCTCCTGCTCCCGATTCGTGCTACCTGAGGCTGAGGGACAATAGACAGCTTCGCCTCGTCTTTTTCTTGCTCTTCTGCCTCTTCCCAGTTCCTGTTCTCTTTCCCTTGCAACTCTGTTTCCAGCTCGAAGCAGGGCGAGGGGCTTTCGGGTGTCACCGGAGATCCCTGGAGGGACACGGTAGAGTTCAGGAAAGATGGCCTCAGATCGAGCCGTGGTTTGATCCTGTGAGGCCAAGAGAGCTGCAAGTCCCTCCTTTTGAATGATGTTTCCCTTAAGACCTTCTTCTGAGCATCCTTTACCTTTTCCCTGTAATACTTCTTGAAGGATTCATCCAGGGTTCCTACTGGGCTGGAGAGATGCTCTTGGTTTTGCTGGTCTACGCCGCATGTGTTGTTCAGCAGGATACCACTTCTGCTGGAGGTGCTCCCTTCCTCTACACTCTGCTGCCTGAGGGGGGCGCTATACCGCCTGGACTCCCTCCACTTCCCACTGGTGTCACTCTTGGGCCTGTGCATCAGCACTCCCCTGTTCTCACCCGTGAGATGGTACAAGAGAGGAGTGGTCTCCTTGTTGATCTTATCACTGGCTAAGTCTCCCAAAGGCTGTCTCTTCCCTCTTACTGCAAGGTCTGCTTTCTTATCGATGCCTCCCTGGTCTGCGTTCAGTACAGCAGCAGTGTCCTTGTCATCTTTGTAAATTCGGGGACAACCGTCCTCTGGACCACAGTAGAAGATGGGATGTCTTTGGGAGCTACAGTTTCTCTCACTGGTTGTTTCTTCCGAACTCTCCAGACCATAGAAACCCTGGTTTGAGATATTACTCTGAGCACACGAGACTTTGCTCTGAGATTCCTCGTCTTTGATGCTGTTGTACACATCGTGACTCTTATGACAGGTTTCCGAGTCCTGCAAGCCATCAAGACTGTTCTCGCGTCCTTGTCGCACATTGTGGTCAACCACAGGACCGAGTAACCTATCTTCCATCTCCACCAGCCTGTGTGTGTCTGCTGTAGATGAAGGACTGATCTCGCCCTCTGAAAGAGCATCTCTACAACTCGACTCTGAGGATTTGCACACGCCGGTTACGAAGTAGAAATTCCCTTTGTGCTGGATGTTGCCATTTGGCAGGTTCTGCATTGCATGCTGGGTATCCCCGGGTTGCAACGGCTCCGGGAGGTTGGCCCTTTGCTCAGAACGTGACCTCCTGCTTTGATTTTCAGACCAGTTACCAGCACCTACGACCTGCTGTTTCAGGAATTCTGGTTGAATAAAGGACGAAGACTGCTGGTTTAAAGAACTTTGAATAGGCTTTTGTTTGGGTGTCTGATCCGAGTCTTCCAGACCTTCTGGACATTCCAGGTTAGACCGTGAGCTCCTTCGGCCATAGGCCAACTTCTGTCTGGGATGAACAGCATCAGGATTAGCAGTCTCAGACCTCTGGTGTGATCTTTCAGCCCAAGGGCCATGAGAACTCAAGTTCTCTCTGTAATTTTCCAAGTTCTTGATGGTTATGAAACTGTCTAGACGAGCTGGTGGTGGTGGAGGCGGTTCCCGGTGGCAGTCTGCACCATGGCAGGGACTGTGGCAGTAGCACTCCTGCGAGTCACCCCCTACGGTCTCAAAAAGCTGATCCACGCTTGCGGATCTGTTGATGTTGAGAATGTTGGGACTGTAGACACCCTTGACATACTTCAGATCTGCGTACTGAAGGCTTTGGTGGTGGATGTCGTCTGGCAGGAACGGGGAGGTGTAGTCTGGGGCATTGGAGCCCCCGGAGAAGGAGCTGTACGCAGAGTCCCCTTTCCCGTGGTGGTGGCTGAACTGGTCGATGCTGCTGTTGGACTTGGCCGGCGAGAGTCGGCTCCCTGGGCAGCTCAGCGGCTGCGCGTCCAGGCTGCTGGTGCCCTCAAAGTGGAAGTCGAAGGAGTCCATGGCGGTCTGCCGCGCGGAGACGGGGACGTGGGAGAGCGGGTCTGTCACCACGCCATTCCGCTGCAGTTTCTGCAGAAAATAGGTACATACAGAACAAGAAAGTACAACCATCAAAACAAACTGCAAATGAGAGGACATTCGAAATATCAGCTTATAATACTGATTCATTGTGCTGCTCTGGGTATTACTGAAATTAGTGAAAAACCTCAACTGGAATGATTTTTGAATGAGATAAAATCCTCATTGACACCACAGCTTTAATGTTTTTTTTAAATGTTTCTACCAAAAGATCCACATACGCTGCAAATTCCATCGACCAGCTGAATGTCTTATTACAATCAGTAATTATACTTGAAGGGCCTATTTTACAGTGGCTCTCTGCAGTGTTAATTCATTAAAGCATCACCAAAATATCGATCAACAAACTGAGGTACATTCTTGGGAGTAGTCCAGCATGTTTAACATTTAAGAATATGGTTATCTTTTACGACAGGTCATCAATAGGTTATCAGTCAACTGAACAGCTTTTTGTTTTTTTTTTCCTTCAACTGCTACAAACTTTCCCTAGATAATGTGCAGCAATGGATAGACTCCACTTCATCTTTAAACGCTTACCATGCCAGTTTAACTTGGTTTGTTAAAAACCACATAAGTTTTGAAGGACATCATCTTATGAAGATCCTTTACTTAGGGTGTCCACCAGCTCACTTTCTACCCACAGCTTAGGCGACATTCTCGTGTCGTGAGGACTAATGCTCTCTCATTCGCTCAGTGGGCCAATTTAACCCATGAACAGGGCCGACATGCTGAAGGTCCCGTGTGCTGATGGGGACCTGTGACCCCCCCCCCCCAACCCAACCAAGCCCGACGCCATAACCCCACACCCACTACTAACAAACAAGAAGCACTCGAGTGGAAATGATGGTCTGGGAATGTCCGTGAAGGAACGCGCTTAGAGCAAAAGAACCCACACACGCACCGCTATCATCGCGGCGACTAACGACTCCTACGGACTCCCCTTCGGCATGCTGAATGACTCCTAACCACGCATCAACAGCTCCAAAACAAAGGACATGGATGAACAAAATTATGGAAATTACGCTGGGAAGTATCACACAGACTTCTGGGCTCTTTCCAATCAGTGTGTGGGGCATACAGAGTATCACAACACCATGTATTTAACTTTCGGGGAAAATAGGACTACGAAAGACAACGGCCGTCACATTCTCATCGCTTTCTGTATCACACAATTGCTGTAGTTTGCGTAATATCTGTAGTGATATTACGCTCTGTTTCTGTACTGTGGCATCACAGAGAGCGAAGCACACAGGAACAGACGCAAGGTGCCCGCAGATACCAGGTGCACGGCCAGCCCCGCGATGTCCCTTCAGGACGGGAGTTTGTGTCAATTCTCTCTGCTCATTTCCCGCTGACACACTCTGGATCTTATTCAAGCACCATTCAACAATAGAGACAATGCACACAAATCGCAGTGCTTAAAAAATAAATAAAAAAAAAATCGAAGACATTTAAAACATTTAAAAATGTTGGTTTAACTTGTTTTAGCCAGAATAATCCTCTCAGTCCGAGAAGTTCAAGCAAATTAAGAGACACAAAAAAAAAAAAAGGAAAAAAGTTAAACGACTTGTAGTACAATTTAAAAATACTGAAAAACAGTTATACATCACTTACCTGATATCCATCTTAAAAGATAATAAAAATAAAATAAGCTAGATATGAGATGTCTCCTCCTTAACTTCTTATGAATTAAACTGTTCAGGAAACCAGGCGTTTGACTTCACACTAATCCAAAACAAAACAAACCAAGACAGCAGAAAGGAGGGATTTCATTGACGTGGATGAAAGGGAGAGAGAGGAGGCTGGCTGGCTGCAGAAACATGCAGAGGGGAGAAGCTCCAGCCAGATGCTAACGCCGTGCACCAGTGACGTCCACCTCGCCGATGTACGACCAACGCGGGAGAAGGCATCTCTCTCTGCTGATAATGCAGCCTGAAAAAAACAGAGTTTGGGGGGGGGGGGGGGCGCTTGCATTCCTGCCTCCCTTCAATGAAAGACTGGCTGAGTAGCCGCTCTCCCCCCCCCCACCCCCAGGCAAGCGGGGGCATCTGCTCTCATCCCAGCCAAACAAAGGCCCAGGAGGAGCCCCCCTTTTCAAGGCCCAGAAGTATACCACCACCCCCCCCCTTCTGCTGGACCCCAACCAGCTTCCCCAGCACCCAGAAAAAAAAAAAAAGTCAGCCATTAAGAACATGGCGATGACAGCGTGGGGCTGGGGGGGTGGGGAGGACTTAGCCGCTGAAGATGCTCCATGCTCCTTGAAGTCCTGCAGTGAGGTCATCATCATCATCACCATAATCACTATTATTAGTGCTAACCAATTAAAACTGATAAATACAACTGGGAACCAGAACCACTGGTGCTTGGGCCCATAATTATTATTACTCTTCTTCCTTCCTTTTCCTCATCATCATCACCACCACCACCACCACAATCACATGGTTTCTGCCAAGTCAAATACAGAGCATGACAGTAAAACAAAAACACACACTCCACATATACATGTGACACGCCGTCACCGTCTCGCACACAAAGTGCAGGGACCCTTTTCTGGAAGCATCTAATCGCCCGTGTGTGAAATCTGCCCCAGGATTTCGTGCTCCGAGGGCTTATCGACCCGTCAGGGCGAGGAGAAGCGACCCGGCATAGAATTATGCACATACTGAAGGACAATAAACGTTTGCAGATATCATAAACATTTAAATATAACCTGCTTGTGTTCAGTAGTGTTTAGCCCTCGAGACAGAGAGTAGATCTTCACCAACATTACAGACGTTCCTCTCCAGCATATCAGTGTCTAACTTTGCCTCTCCAGCCTCAGCGTTCTCCAAAGGAGCACCGGAATACTCTCGGTGCAGCAACGGACCCCCTCTCACCTTGACGCCCAATCAGAGGCCAGCTTCTTTGGGCAAAGGCCGGAATGCAATTGTGCGAAAAAGCTGGAGGTGTCCGAGCTCAAAATCTCAGTAAGGAGATTGTATCACAAGGCTGGCAGGAATTCGGAACATTTCTCAAGCTCAAAAACGACCCTCATTTCTTTGTAGCACAAGACTCCGACTGCTTAGGGACCTGGCATGCGTTAAAAATCCTGCTGATGTCATCGGAGCAAGTAATCCCATTGGCTCCTGAGATGTTGGGATTCACAATTACATTATCAATAAATAAATAAAACAAAACGACTCTCGCACGTGAATAGCCAAACATTCGATTGGTACAACCTGAAGCTGTATTTGTAATATTTTTTCCTTACCAAAAATAAATACTGAGACTAGCAGGCAGAAGTTCAGGTCCAGAAAGTACAAATCCAGTCCAAGATTTTGTTTCAACCAACCAGTTGAGTTACTCTGTAACTGACTCTTTATACTCAACTTGGTTTGGATTTTTACTTTCTGAACCTGAACTTTCCACCTCTGCTAGCAGGACCAACACTTCCAGTAATCTAGACTAAAAGTTACCAAAGCATACCAGTAACACTGACACTGTCCCAGAACATTTGATTCACATTGATTGATTTTATTCACTACCGTCTGCGACCAATGGAAAGAAACCCTCTTTTTTTTTTTTGTTTAGCTAAAATTTCACATGTCAGACAGTCCTGGATCTTCTCCAAACAGTGCATCCAATCAGCATGTGAACAGGCTGAACTGTGGGCACCTTCTGGGTCAGTGTCCGGGTCATTCCAGAACCAAGGGGGGAAAAAATGTTACATAAAAACCATGACAGTGAACTAATAGAATGACCCTATATTAATTCAACTAAACGGACAAATAACACCGTAAAATGCACTGATCATCCTACCAGAACCTGGATTCTTCAAAGAAATGTTTATAGACAACAGTTTGGATTGGTTTGACGGAAAATGCGAGGTACCATCATAGTGAAACGGAAAAACAGGAAAGTATAAAGGCTACTTTGCAATCCCATTCATAAAGACTCCTTGAGGGTTAAACAGCAGCCCCTTCACAATTCAGCCAGACCGGACTGGCAGCTAAATGCCACCTAATTAATCACCATTATAGACGAAGTCGAGGTGACGGAGGCGTGCGAGACCCCACACTAAACACGACCCAAAAGTACCATTTGAAAAACACAAGACTGAAGCTCGACTGGTCCCAGAGCAGATTCACATGTGAGGGGCAGCGTTTGGGACTTAGCGACCCTTCTGGCCAATGTAGAAGGGACAGGGGGGGAGGGGGGGGGTAAGAGGTCATGTGTGCCTTTAATCAAATAAAGGAAGGATGTGTTTGTGTTTGCTGGTGCTGTATGGAATGTGGACTCTGGTATCAGTCCCACATTCCTCAGGAGCCAGATCAGCTTGCACTGAAACGCTGTCAGAAATGCCCTTTGCTTCTGGGGAAGGGACAAAAAAAAAAGGAAAACATTGAAAAGTGGGTGAAAAATCAGATATATTACTCCATGGTTACCTGCTCCACATCTCCAAGACTCCAGGCTACGAAAGGCGGAAGCTACCGCTACCGGACTCTCGTTTGGAACAGTCCATCCGCTCTGCAGCATAGGACACAAGCGGAGGCTGGCCTGCTGCACACGCACTGAAAGGTGGAATTTGCGCAGGGCAATGTTTAACTTGGTCTGGTGTGACCGAAACACATTACACAGCATTATAAAATACTCCAGGTTAGCGGTTAGTCATCTGGCAACTCAGCGCCGGGTAAAAAATTAACCTTTTCAGTGCAGCCGTGGCAGACATGTCGATCAAACAATCTTCCTCGCCTCAAGGTGGAACAACTCCACCCGATGTGTACATCCAGCTGTGCTTCATACCATATTTAGTCAAATGGGGGCTGCACATTTAACAGCTGAAGGAAATTTCAGCAGGGGGGGGGGACTTATTCAGTGGTGACTTATAATCACAGGCAGATTAAATCATCACTCAAATATTTCAGTGCTATAGATTCAGTCATAAACGATGTATGAATTGGTTTAATATATATTTTGATTGAAACGGCTATAATCAAAAGGCTAGCAAACTTCTACAGTAAATGCTAAACTGATAAGAATACAAGAAAAGTGTTAGGATTAGACACTTAAAACTAACCAACTGAAAACCGTAAAAACACGACTAATGCCGTTTTGTCAGCCAAATCCGCTTCCACACACCGATAAGCCGGTAATAGCGAACAGTAGCTAACGTCCTGAAATCCCCCCCCCTCTCCTTTTTCCCCCCAAAACTGACAGTGCAAACAGCAGTAATTTGTAAAAATTTACAAAAAATACGTTTCACACGTTGGATAGAAGCACGATGAACCATTGTAAACCACCTCAAAAGAAAACACCCGAGACCAGTGTTGTGCATTTCAGGGCCAGAAAGTACAAATCCAGACCAGGATTTTGTTTCTACCAACCAGTTGAGAAGAACAAGTCAGAGTACTCAATTGCTTGGTTGAAACAAAATCCTGGTCTGGATGTGCAGCATTTGGACCCGAAATGCTCAACACTGCCTGAGAGACCATGCAGAGTACGTTATCCTTTTAGGTATATATATATCTTTTTTTTTTTTTTTTTTTTAAATGAGGGAATTAGTTTGGTTCAGTAACTTGCAAAATAGTCTTAAAAACCAACATCAAAAAAGAACCTCGATAAAATCATAATCATGATCCTACCTGAAAAATTAAAATGTTGTATGACATTTTTGCGGTTTTGCCCACCCCTGCTTCGGACCACACAAACGCAGACGGGTGCATGGTCATGCTCGGAGCCAATGAGACGGGTGCATGGTCATGCTCGGAGCCAATGAGACGGGTGCATGGTCATGCTCTGAGCCAATGAGACGGGTGCTGTTCTCCTGCTCTCCAAGGGGGAGCTTGCTGCCAGGAACAACCACTTCCTGCAATTGTTAACTAAACACAAAACTCATTCATTCCTTCCACTGAAAACCGGCCGTGTGTTAATCTCCCTGGTAGTTTATTAGAAATGTATCTTCTGCTTGGGCAGGATCCAGTATGGCATAACTAATAAGGAACACGCTCCTAAGCCTTCACTCGATGCCCAGCCCCTAAATTTGCAGCCTTATTTCCGTTCCTGTGTAGCTGATCTTTGTCCATTTTATTTTATTTTTTTTTGCAGTCGCATCATATTCAGTTTCCTGCAGTAGATCTGACCTGGGTGTCAAATTGAGGTGCCGCCCAGAACTGGTATGACAGAGTAGAGCACATCAAACACAGGGGAAGGGGGGGGCGCGTCTGCTTGCCGTCTGCCGGCGTTTGCTTAGCAACGGGGGCGACAGACGAGCTAGCGCTCGGCGGCGAGGTCGGCTCAGGTGAGCGGGAGGCGGTCAGGCCCTTTCCACCGCGGTCACCCTCAGGTCAGATGGCCAGGAATGGAGGCACTGCCTTAAGATGCATTAAATGTTATTCAGAACGACTGCAAGGAATGAAAGAAGGGAGAAAAAAAAAAAAAAAGAAAGAAACAAGCCAACTAGGCCAAACAGTGAGACACCACACCCGCGAAAATCTCCAGAGGAGACACGACGACGATATCATTTCTTAAAAGGGAGGGGTGCAGCGCAACAGGTGGGTGTGTGAAGTCCAAG